TCTCTCTCTCTCTCTCTCTCTCTCTCTCTCTCTCTCTCTCTCTCTCTGTGTGTGTGTGTGTGTGTGTGTGTGTATCAAACCAGGCAGTCACAGGACATCTGAATGGGCTATACCATTCTAGTTTCTCAGAGGCCCTGCCTGCTCTGCATTTTCTGATAAAACTAATTATTATATGAAAATGAGAATATGCCTGTTGATATAGAGTGAAATCTTTTTTTGTCAAAAAGTCATAAAATAGACATATCTACTGCTACTAACTCTCATGGACAATGAAAAGCTCTGTCAGGTATGGTGGCACATGTCTGCAATCTCAGGAGCCTTCGGTATACAAAGGGTCTGAAGAAAGCTTCATCTATATTTGGCCCTGATTTAAAGTCTTTATAGTAAAACTTAAAAAACTTTGTATCTCGCTACAATACTGATCTGCTAGGCAAGTTGTATCCAATAATAAAATAATGGCATGATCATTATGGGCAAACCAACTATTTTCTGAGTGGATCTCAGGTCTTCTCTACAGGAGGAATTCCATTTCTAGTACTGTGAGTTTTGTCAAAAGCCTATGATGACTTCGAAGATCATAAGCCCACAGTGAGAGACCTACTGGTGTTTCATTAAATGGTCTTGTTGTTAAACTGTCTTGAAAATATCTATACTTATTGCCATAGATTTGTGCTACTCTTAAGCTAGATCAAGAAGCTTCTTTTTCAATGGGTAGTGTGGTTAATGAAAAGACTCTCTTAAGTGGCCAAAGTACCGAGAATTAGTAAATATGGGCGTTTAGCTGTAGACAGGCCATCTATACCTATTTCCATCCATCCAAGACTCAAGGAACATCAGGGAAGAGAGGAAGGGAAGAATGTAATAGCCAGAGGAGGAGTAGGAAAGTTGTGAAATATTGACTTCTGGATATTACAATAGCTGTTGAACAAATCAACTCGCAGCAGCTGTGGTTGCTTGCACACGCCTTGCAAAAACACAAGCTGGCCAACATTTCAGCATGGACTAGGGAATGTTCCCAAAGACCCATCCTAGCCTGTTGGTAGCTGATGGCTGCTGACAGAGGGAGAGTCACTTTTCTTTGGGCATGTGGATCCTGGTAAGCTCATGGCTTATGTCCCAGTGCATGGCAACACACCTGTGCACATGTGGTATGCATTAATGTGACTCAGGGGCTAATGACAACAACTAATTAAAAAAGAAAACATGAAATTGTAGGGGAGATTAGTTGTCCTGAAAAAGTTGAGGAGAGGTTAGTAGGAAAAGACATAATCAAAATAAATTTTCTAATGTATGAACTTCTTAAAATAAATAGAAACAGTATAAAAAGCTATGCAGGGACCTCGTAGGTTTGCTTGTACTATGTCAGTCTAGTCATGTTTAGAAGCATCACCCTAATGGCCCTCATGCCTCACTGGACAACGACAGGGGGACTGGAGCCATTACAAGGTCCCCTTCAAATACTGGAGGTCAGGCCTCTATCCCCGCCTTCGAAAGTTTAGAATTGCCACAGCCCTTCTATACTTAGAGAAGGGAGGAGATGTCAGGGGCAGCCCTGCTTACCCACTGAAGGCCTAAAATCAGCCATAGGCCTAAAATCAGCAATAGGCCTGTCATACATGTCTACTAACACCAAGTCTTGGGTCTCAGTGGAAAAACATTGAAACAGATGGCTATAAGCTAATGTAAACAGGCAGCTTTTGTGGAAATTTACAAGCCTGAGTAGTCATAGACCTTGTAAATAGGTAGCCTGGGCAGACAATACCAACTTAGATAAAAGGACAAGCGAGTCATAGGCAGAGTCATAGTGACTTGTCCCCTGAACCTTCACCCAGCCGATACCCGGTTCTGATGATATCTGTATTCCCCCTGATCACCCACACTCCAGTGTCATTCCCTTCCCCACATCCTGCCTTTCTGTGTATATAACCCCTGTATGAATGAATTATGATTTGAGAAAAAATAAATTATATATAAAAAAGCATCACCCTATTCACTTTAAAATTCAGGAATTCTCCTTGTGGGTACTGGAGCTGTACCACAAAGGGCAGGTCACAGAAGAGCAGAGAATACAGGGGTCCGTCCAATCCTCCTCCATCTTCAGGGTGGTCATCCTTGCCTCCTATTTTCCTCCCTTCTGCCCTCATGCTTCATCTTCCCTTTTCCACACCTCATCCTCCCCCTTCCTTCCTCTTCCCTTCCATGCAATCCACAGAAGTCTCCTCACTCTGAGCTCCTCTTCTCTTCTTCATCCCCCTATCTTATCCCCACCCTCATCCCCCGATGAGCCTCATCTCATCCCCTTTTACTTCCATCCTCATCACTGCCCTCATCTCCCCACACTGCACCCCCTCATCCCCGACCTCTTGTTCTCATCTCCCATTATATTCTTAGTTTCTTTTCTACTGCTATGAAGAGATACCCTAACCAAAGCAATTTATAAAATAAACCATCTAACTGGGGGCTCGCTTACAGTTTCAGAGGGTGACTCATGACTACTGGGGTAGGAAACATGCCAGGCAGGCAGGTAGGCAGGGACAATGTTGGGACAGTAGATGAGAGCCTACTTTTCCACAAACAGTAGAGAGAGAGAGAGAGAGAGAGAGAGAGAGAGAGAGAGAGAGAGAGACAGGATAAGACTGGGCCTGGCATGGATTTTTGAAACCTCAATACGAACCCCTCAGTAACACATGTCCTAATCCTTCCTGAATATTTGGTCAACTGAGAAACAAATGTTCAAATATATGAGCCTCTGGGGGGCCATTCTCACTCAAACCACCACACATTCCTTTATACTTCACGATCATTTCCCTGTGACACCCTGTTTGGTCAGTGTCATAGCTACTTTTCTATTGCTGTGATCAAACATCACGACCAAGGCAACTTACAGAAGGAAGAATTTATTTGGGCTTATGGTTTCAGGGGGATAAGAATCCATCCATGAAGGAGGGCTTTGGAAACAAGCAGCAGGCACGAGGCTGGAGCAGAAGCTGAGCGCTCACATCTTTAATTGCAAACAAGAAGCAGAGAGAGCAAACTGGGAATGGTACATGGCTTTTGAAATCTCAAAGCTTTCCCTCAGTGACATTCTAGTAAGTTCACTCCTACTCAGCCTACCTGAATAGTGCCACAAACTGGGGACAATGGGGCCATCTCATTCAAACCACCACAGTCAGGTATCCTTCCAATAATGTACTTAATAAGTTTACCCATGATTGTATTTGGCCTTGTGCATTTTTCTAAGTGCATATGGAGCCTCTTGAGCTTTTAGTGCTTCTAGAAAAACCCTGTTATGATTAAGCATCCCTTCTCACCCTTACCTCCATACCCTCATCTGGCCTGTGGTAGTTGGCAAAGCAGAACTCTGGAGTACTGTTGTTATTGTGGCCTCTTGGCTCATCATGGTGTCCTGCCTGGGAGGTCTGGAGTGGCCATCTGATTAGCTAAGTCTTGGCTCAGGAAAGTTGAGCTTGGAGCCCTGTCAGCAAACACACTGACATTGGTGCAGGACAGCCTCACACAGCAGCTACCTGGGAACACATCATTCTTCTCTATGGGGATGTGAGAATGCATGCGTGACTTACTGACAGAAGAGACTCAGGCAGTAGGAAAGGCTCCAACTAGAGCAGGAGGTAATGACAAGGAAAACCAGTGCGTGTCTTCTAATGAGCCTTTAAAAATGTAACATATTTTTGTGAGGAGGGAATTTCAGCAGAGCTTCGTGCAGTCCAAGTATCACAAACATTATAGTAGGATTGCCAGAAACTCATGAGTGTCATCACTTCTGTAGCTGAGCTTCCATGACTCCAGTCCAAGGTAACAAATGAATACTATTTGAACAGAGATATACTAAAATCATGCTGTTCATTATGGGAAAGTAGAGTAACTCACATACTTGGCTAATCAACCATGGTTTCATAGCAAAGACATCCATTACTTTCATTCACCTAACACATATCATCAAGTGACCACTGGGGCCAGAAATGAAAGGAGACAGGAATCACAGAGACCCAAACCAACACCCAGGCTGGCTAGGAGAACCACATGATATGTTACAGCCTACTATGGAAAGTAAGAATGTAGACCAGGACTCACACACTGGCTGAGGCCAGTTGCAACCTTGACATTGTGATTAGGGCTGGCCTTGGGAAAGAAGGGAGCAATCTGGTAAAAAATCTGGCCAGTGCAAAGGCACCGAGGCTGAAAGGGGTGGCAGGGAGTCACAAGAGCAGTGGAATCTCGTGGCATTTCAGTTGTTGGAGTGGGAGTAAGCCCCTGTGTTCCAAACTCAGCACCACCAACATGATACATAAGTGCATACACTTGGATGCATGCATACATGCATCCATACA